TTTCCAAAAAACCACTCAAGTTTACATGTTTTGCTTACCTTTACCCTTCCCCAAACACACTAAAACACATTTTATCAAAGTATTACATTGCAATTTTAGTCTAAAAAGTACTATAGAAAACCTCCCACATATGAAAGTCAGCATTTGTCACCTCATAACCTTCCCTTTCAAATTTAGTACACCCCCACAAACCATCTGGATTTCGTCAACGAACTGCACCGGACCTCAAACCGCTGCTGCCAGGGGTGTGATCCCTCAGACCAAATTCTGGCCTCTGCTACGCTTGCCTAACTCCGATTTACCCGGTGGTCAACAGGGCGTTTCTTGCAACAAGCTAACGGTCCACATTGACCAGAAGTTTGCTATAGGTATACTAATGAAAAACGACATAGAACTTGACTAAACTGATTTTCAGAACAGCATCATTTAAACATAAACATAAAAACACTGCTCTGAGCATTTCTAAACACAACATTTTAAATGACACTGTAGAATGGTACCATAAGCTACAATTTTATAAATCTTGGGAGGAAAGTCTGAACCTGCAGGCTTAAAACCAGGCTGTGCCACACCTACACTTTGTCACTTTTCATTCTGCAAGTGAAACTCAAACATTTTAGCTCAGTACTTCCCAAAGCCAGCATCTGCGGGAGTCAAACGGAAGCCCTGACCCAGCTCCAGCTCACAGTGATGTGTCTTTGTGCTGTAGCTGACTTCGGGATCGATTTGGTCGATCTGTGCTTTTACATTCCGAAATGGAGATCTGTGCGGTATCCCAGACTGGTACCGAGAAAGCCGGAATCAGGACCACACAACACCCCTGAGTCTACACAACATACACATAACATCTGAAAATCCTGTACGAGACGCAGTGCCCTGCTTCCTGGTGCCCATCGGTCACTGCCCGTGCATGCCCTCAGATTACACAGGATACGCAGGAGAAGAATTAGTTGCAAACCATCCCCAATATCTGAAGCGTAACACTTCAAAACGTTTCGCATACCTGCATCCTCCGCACTAGGATCACTTTCAGCAACAGGCTGCGTTGTGGCAACCTTCCCAGGTGTGGACTCAATGCTGCTAGCTGTGGGTCTTCCACTAGCAGGAGATTCTTTGAAAATATTACTAATATTAAGGAAAAAGTCATTAAAAACACAGAAATGCCTTGATTTACAGATATCTGTAAGAGAAGTTTATCTTTTAGAATAACAACATTTAAGATGTGTCTAAAAGATAACTAAATTTCTGAAAACACAGTTAAAATCCAGGTAGCTGAGCAGTTTGTCACTCATCCTATGTGCCAACGTGTATAAACTTGTTTCAGTAATTTTTTTCCCCTCTCATTGTGAAAGAAAAAATAACTCTGCTTTTTCTGAAGCAAAAGCCACCTTAAACATTGGCCATAAACCAAAAAGTATTTCATAAAACATTAATAGCAGCTGTCAACTGTTAACCTGCCAAGCAACAGACATAATCAACCCAGTCTGTAACTTTTTAACAAGCGCTAGTTTCATGTCTTTTTTAGTATTTTTTAAAATCATCCTAAAGACAGACAGTTTTATCAATTAACTTCGTTTTACCTAACGCTTTTTACAGAAGGCAAGAAGGAAGGCAGCTCTTCTTCAGGGGAGGGCGGAACGACATCTAAGTAATCGTCCTCTTCAAGCTCAGGGCCTGCAAACGGCTCGATGTCGACCTCATCCAGTTCTGGGGGGCTGTTTTGCTCAGCCCTGCTTGGCTTCTGGCTCTCTCCACTTCTGTCACCAGCAGCTGAAAGAGAAATCTATTAATACTGTTGGGTAACACTGTAAACTCATTCTAGTATAAACACAAACGCAGCTGAACAGCGGGAAAAACTTAATAGCCAGATTTCAAAACATTCGTTTAATACAGTTTCTGACTTTTAAAGGACAAAAAAAAATATTATTACTGCTCCCCATTTCTCCCCCACAAACCCTCTTTGAAGTGGAAAAGTTATATAGCTTGCCTCTAGTTACCTTTCCCAGTCAGAAGAGAAAAACCTTAACAGGTATACTTTCCTATGAGAGATTTTATAGAAAGCTATTGTTATATTAAATACTACCTTAAAAAAAGTAGACTCATCAACCAGCATAGTCCCTATACTGGAATTAGGAGATAAATTTACACGTATAGTGCCTTATAAGACAAATCCTACTAAGAAAGGCCAATATCGTTAATATATTGAAATTCATTTCCCAGAAAGAGGGGAAAAGGTAACAAAATATTCTTATAAAGAAAAATACAGTTCACAAATCCTTTCATCATTTACTGTAACAGTAACAGCACAGAACACTGTTCAATATAATTCAGTTGCATAAACATACTAATTTCACAAACAAAGATCAAAAGTTACAGAACAACACAGAGCTGCCAAGGAAGCACTCTGACTGACACTCATGAACTTTTTGGTCATAATCGAGGGTTGGAGTTTTTTGGCGGGTTTTTGTGTTTTGTTTTAAATTGAAAGAGACCTCTTCTTCTAGTTTAATATTTCTCATGATTACATTTAGGCATAAGATGATTTTATGTCTCTTTTGTATTAATTTTAAAAGTGCTTTTCTTCCTGTAACATCCCCATAGATTATTGCTCTTCATTTCTGGAATGCCTTATGGGAAGTCTTGCAACTCCCAACACTACCATGCGAGCAGCTGCTACTTCTGCCACAGAGACAATGCCCCACCATTTACAACCCTGGTTACCCAACCGAAATGCGCGCACCCATGACTGCTTGTCAGATACGAGCATGCAGCTCCCTCTGATTTCAGAAAAGTCAAGCCCTCTGTGTGCAAACACAAACATACTTTCTTCTAGTTCGCTGGTACTTCAAAATAAATTGTTACCTGGGTGAGCCTCTTCCCTGTCATCACCAAAAATCACGTCAGCAGATGAATTGTCCCAAAGGGCCTCACCCACGGCCTTGTTACCGCTGCAGGGAGCTGAATCCTCAAGGCAGATCACAGATTGCTGCGACAAGGGTCGTTGCTCAGCCTCTGGAGAGGTCTCCCCGCGCTCCGAAGCGCCCTGGCAGCCAGGCCCCGCGTCGTCGCCCGCAGTCCCGGGGGGAGAGCCAGGAGGCTCATCCCGGCGGGGGGTTGACTTCTGGGAAGCCTTGCAGGCAGCCCGCTGCCCTTTGGGGGACAGGACCGGCGGTCTGCAATACTTCTTTTCGATTGCCGACAAATCAAAGTCGTCAATGTCATCCCACTCATCTTC